GGTTTTAGGGGATTCAATTCATAGTTGCCTGGCTCCAAGACAGGATCACTGTGGTGGAGAGACTTGGAAGAAGAAAGCTGTGCATGTCATGGTGGCCAAGAAGCAAAGCCTGAGACCAGTGCCAGCGATGAAAATTAGCGACTAGATATAAGACCCAAGGCTACGGTTCCATGATTCACCCAGACACACCCAGATGTAGATCTATCTAATCTCAGAGACTTGCAAGTCAGTCAAGTTGACATAAACCTAAAAAAACACAAGTTCTTTAAGTAGGAAAGGTAGGTGCAGGGAATTGATGCTAATCAGCTAAACTGAAGACAGCATATTGGGGAAACAGCAGGTAGGACAAATGTATTACCTGCTATATAAAGGTATTTATTATTTTGCTCAATGCCTCTACCCAGATTTTAAATAAAAGATTTTTACCATATATGCAATTCAGTCCAATTATACTAATATTCTTTGAATGTTCATTTGTTAGTAGGTTGGGTTTTGGTTATATACTGATGAGTGAAATGTACATTTCTATGATGCTTATGAAGTTATCACTACTGCAAAGGAAATAGCCAATAGACAAGTAAGCAACATCAAGATATGAATGCTCATGCAGTAAGTAAAATAATAGAAAATATGAGAATATTCAATGATATTTAAGATTCCCTTGATAGTGTTGGTGATGAATATCTCTTGAAAACTGAGATTAAATGGAGACAGAAATAGACAGATTTGTAGGCAGAAAATTCCAGACACAGAGAACAACATGTCCAGGTACTGAAGTTTTTGTGACACAAAGAGTCTGGCTTATGCTCAGAATTAAAACATCTCAGTGTATTTTAAATGAGAGAAAAATGAGGAAAAGAATGGAATTAGATGACCTCTAAGGGCATAGAAGCCATAATAGATAAGATCTTTAGGCCACAAGGAGAAGTTTGGAATTAATGCTAACAGTAAATGAGATCCAGTAATAAATTTTAAATAAAAGTATGATATGACATATCAAAGGAGTATAACATGGAATACATGAGTAAATGTTTAGAAGAAATCAAGAGATGGCATTTCTCCTGATATCAAGGAGTACTAATCTAACAAAATTTCAACAAGTTTGATAAATGCCATTAGAAAGAAGATGGAATATGGAGATAAGTATAGTTTCTAATTATATCATCACTCCCTACACCGTGCAAGTATTTTTGATTCAATGCAATTTATGTAAATTCTCTGAGCCTCAATTTTTTCTTTTATAATATATAACTAATCATAAGGCTGCTGTGAGGCACAACAAAATAATACACAAAAAGTATTTGATATATAAATATATGTTATGCTTCATTAAATTATAATATTAATTTAATATTAGAGTATAGGAAAGTGGATACAGGGGCAAGACAGGAGTACAAGCAGTCCAGTTTGGCAGCTACCATATTGCAGTATTCAAAGAAGATTGATGAAAGTGATCTGGATTCATCAGATGGTCAAAAGAGGAAGATATGGATTGGGAAAAGATTTAAGAGGGAAAATCATGTGACTTATGAGTATATATAGGATAAAAATACAGTGACAGGGGTTTAGGTGACTTTTTAATTTCCAGGTTGAGTCTCTGAGAAAGAAAAAAACATGGCACTGACTGAAAAGAAAGCACTGACTCAGAGTTAAACCATCAATATCACATCTCTTTGTGAGACAGGAACCAAAAGTGCTAGATTAAAAGAGAAAAGATTGGCTACATATCATGGATGGTGAATCAAAGAGAGAGAGAGAGAGAGAGAGAGAGAGAGAGAGAGAGAGAGAGAGAGAAACAGGAAGACAGAGACAGAGACAGAGAGACAAGAGACAGACACACAGAGAGGTAGCATACTTTGCATTTTCTTAGGTTGTTTTCCTTTCTTATATTTCAGAGTGACACAAATTGTTCATAACAAGCTAAATGTTTTCTCTGGGAGATTGTATTTCTGCCCAATCCAAAATAAATTCCACTTCGTGCTCCCTTAAAATGGGATTTTATACTTAATTTTCACTAAAAGATGTCAGGAAAACCATATTCTCCCTTCCTTCAATCTGTCAAAAAGAAAAAAAAAATTGGGGATCCCACCATGGGATAGTGAGTTCACATTGAACTGTGAGTTTTGGAGAGATATAAAGTCACACACACACACACACACAAAACAAAACAAAACAACAAGAGATATGAATTTGAACTCTAGCTTTCTGTTTGCACAGATTTGGCTCCATTATTTAAGACAGATATGTGGTCAAATATAACTCCTTTAATAAGTGAAACTATACCAGTGAAGCAAAAACAGCTGTGTTGGTTAATGCAAAAGCTTTTGTCAGTGCAGTGGCTTTTGTAATGCAAAAAGCTTTTGTAATGCAAAAGCTTTTGTAAGTGACAGTTTGACTTGAATGAATGGGAACTGATTTTAGTTCTTACAATTGAAATGCATATGTAAATCTACTTCCAACTTTTACATCATAATTTATGATGCAGAGCCCATACTGAAGTCAAAATTGGTTCTGGGGAGGAATTGTTGGCTGATTGACATGTATTAGGACAGGTGTTTACTTCTACCTGAAGGGCCAAATTTGAGGAGACTTAGTGTTGTAAGATCATAGTGTATTACTATGGAATTAGATAAGCTCTACCATAATGTGTTTTTCCACATGTCAAAAAGAATATTAGTTAAACTAGCTAACACTACTAAGTAGGCCATCTTAGGAAGAGGCCAGTGGCAGAGTGAGAACAGAAAGCCCTCTCTTTTAATCATTTTTAATCATTTTTATCAGCATAGAGAAAACAACAAACCTGCTTTCTCAGTTACTTTCCTCATTTCGGGTTCAAAATACCTGCCATTCATGAATTAAAGAAAGACAAGCTCATTTTAGATCATCATTTCAGAAGTTTCAATCCAAGTTCAACAGCCTTAATACAGAAACAGGGATAGAGTAAGGGTCTGGGTAGAGGAAAGATGCTTACATCATAGAGCTCAGGAACAAAGAGAAAATGGAAAAGCCAGAGAGGGAGATGTACCCCACCACATCATGGCCTCAGTGACCCACCTCTAAGTGGGTCTTATCTCCTAACAGCAAGTCAGCTGCATCAGAACCCTCCTCTCATAATTCCATTAATTTCTGTGAGCCCAGCTGTGAATACAAGAGGCATTCCAAATCCAAACCACAATACCTGCATTACGATAAATCCCATCATTACAATTTCTAGCTTTCTTACAAAAATGTACTATATCTCTCTGTACCTCAAGTTTTGTCATCTGTATTCTGAGGGTAATAGCACTTTTGTCTATTAAAATATTTTAAAAAATTCAATTACATAATACAATGTGGAAACTTGCAGATTCTGTGATTTATCCTTGACAGTGAAAACATGATAGTTTCTTGCCTTTTCATAATGAGCATTTCTCCACCCCCATTGTAAATCTTACATATATGTACAGGATGACTGAATGTCTTTTGCAAACATATAACAGATGACAGACTAGGGTGAGGGACAGAGAAAAAGGGAAAATGAAAATACCTTTTAGAATAATGGCAGCTCATGCCACATTCCTTTTTCTATCTTTGGATTTTGTACTTTTCTCATATCAGTGGGACTGAATATGATAGAAGAAGCTGTTATGCCACTAATGAGGAGACTCCAATACCACATCACATTTTTGTTGTAAATTTACTTAACACAAAAACAAAATAGAGCAATAACAACAAAAACATTTACCCCATCTGAGAAACAAACTCATTTTTTTTACTTGCAGGAGTAAGTATAACAATCATCCTTGGAGCACAATAGAATGTACGCTTGCAAAATTTGTCTTTGTGTGGAAAATATGGGAAGAAAATTTTTCTGGGTAATAGGTCCCTTGTCCTTACACTTGAAGTCCCAGATACTCCCTTTAATTGATACGTGGATATTACAAACTCCTCTATGTGCTTTGCTTATTTTACCTATGCTAAATAGAAGTCAAGTTAGATCATTTCTAAAGGTCCTTTTCATTCTGAACATTTACAAAATAGCTAAAACAAAAGATTTAGTTTTTTGCTATCCTTTCATTCTCAGCTTAATTCCTTCAACTCCATGGCCAGACCTTGAGAAACCCTAAAAATTACCTTGCTCTCTCCCTGCCCACAATAAAAGCTCATTTTATTGAATTATACAATAAGACTAAAGATGTCAAAAGGTTTCCTTCCTGTAATATCTTTGATAAATAAAAACATTAACTCTTAAATTACTTTCAGAAATTATTTTCTTTGCTGGTACATTTAGCAATGTTCACTGTGACTGTTGGAAAATATGTTATCCTGATGATGCCATACCAGTACAATGCTCCTTTTAGAGTGAGAAACTTGTTTATTCTCTTCCAAGATGACATGAGGAGAAAAATCTTACCTCAGTTTATAAATTCATATAGTGAAGTTTTCAAGTAAATGTAGAATTAAACATAACCCAAGGGGGATAAAAAGCAGGAGAACTTCAGAGTCACAAGTTATGATAATATAACAATGGAGGCTCAAGTAGGAGGGCTATTTTCTGAATGCTGACATTACACTGTAGAAAGTTAGGACTCAATGAGGAAGGGGAGAAATAAGGCCCACCAAAAATGAGACTAAATTTCTTCTGTTGTGATTGTGAGTGAGCAATACTCACTCTAAGCATGGATTTTGTTAAGGAAAATTTTGAGGGAAAAGAAATGTACTCAAATTCTATATTGTTTGTGCTTTTGTAAGAACTATAAACTGAATGTTTCAAGACAAACTTCTTTGCAAGATTTAACTTGGAGGATCTAAGAAAGCAGTTGTGAGATAATTCCATTATTCCCTAATTGATTCAGTGTTAGACTAGATCAGTCATAAATTTTGCTTAAGACAATTACATTTTATTCTATAAGTAGGTCCTTTCTAATTTTAATATTTCATCTCTCTAAATGTAACAAAATATGTTTGAATGTTGACTAAGAACTAGTTAACCATTTTATTTTTCTTTTTGTTTTGAACAGAAGACCATAAATCGTGGCATACCTTGGTGAATACACTGAAGGGTTCAAGATGGTTAGCAACAGTAATGGTGATAGTGAGACTAACTGCAGCATCACTGATATGCAATTTCGGTACCACTTGTATGCAGCCACCTACACCATCATATTCATCCCTGGTCTTCTTGCCAACAGTGCAGCCTTGTGGGTTCTGTGCCGCTTCATCAGCAAGAAAAACAAAGCAGTCATTTTCATGATCAATCTCTCTGTGGCTGACCTTGCTCACGTGCTGTCCTTACCCCTCCGGATTTACTACTACATCAGCAAGGAGTGGCCTTTCCAGAGGGCCCTTTGCCTGCTGTGCTTTTACCTGAAGTATCTCAACATGTATGCCAGTATTTGCTTCCTGACATGCATCAGCCTTCAGAGATGTTTTTTTCTCCTCAAGCCATTCAGAGCCCGAAACTGGAAGCGTAGGTACGATGTGGTCATAAGTGCTATCATCTGGGTCACTGTGGGGATTGCTTGTTTACCATTTCCCATCCTCAGAAGCACGAATTTAGGCAACAACACTAACTCCTGCTTTGCTGATCTTGGCTACAAGCCAATGAATGCAGTGGTTTTGGTCACAATGATTACAGTTGCTGAACTTGCTGGATTTGTGATTCCAGTGATCATCATTGCATATTGTACTTGGAAAACCATTATATCCTTAAAAGAACCATCAATGGCTTTTCAAGGGATCAATGAGAAGAAAAAAGCACTTCGGATGGTTTTCATGTGTGCTGCAGTCTTCTTTATCTGCTTCACTCCCTATCATATTAACTTTATTTTTTATACCATGGTAAAGGAAACCATCATTAGCAGTTGTTCCATTGTCAAAAGTACACTGTATTTCCATCCTTATTGTCTTTGCCTTGCAAGTCTCTCTTGCCTTTTTGATCCAATTCTGTATTATTTCATGGCTTCAGAGTTTCGAGACCAACTATCTCGCCATGGCAACTCTGTGACCCGTTCTCGGCTCATGAGCAGGGAGAGTGGTTCATCAATGGTTAGCTAAAAAATAAATTGTCTTTTTAATTATGATTTTTGTTTACTTGCAGTCTCTGGATTTTTTAAAAGGCTAGGATTCCCAACTAAACAAAATCTTTAATTGAACCTCTGAAACAATAGAAATAAATATTTTTTGTGACAATGTGGTCACAAGAAAGATGATGGGGCAAAGTATGAAAAATGTGGGATAAGAATGAATGATATAATTAATCTATTTCCTTTTTAAATTTTTAAGGCATTCTGTTAGTTAAGACCTCTGGAATGTTTGTTGAGTAGATCAGACTGGACTAGAAACTAAACTGCAGCTCAGGTTGATTCTTGGACTTTTTATCCTCCTATCTGAGTACACATTTTTTACAGATGGTTTTAATCAAATAGAAATTGATTAGTTTAAAAATTTATTCAGTAAATTGCATATTGTTAATAAAATATAATCAATTCAAGGATCATTTTTACCAGGTAAAATTGATCTCATTCTTAAAACCTTTATTTTTCAAAGAAATATTCAACCCCAAAGATAAAATCACAGGCAAAGGGGAATGGAGGATTTAAGCATAGTGTACATAACTTCCCAGAACATAACTGTATTACTGAATTAAGGTTGTGTAAATGTGTTCATTCTTTGAAAATGTATTGGAAATCTATTATATTCTTGAGTGTCAATTTCTTAGTTCCTGTAATGTATAGCAAATTATTTGGCCCCTCCAATACACATGTTATCATATGAAAATGAGTAAGTAGAACAAGTAGAATGCAATACAAATGAATAAATGGGTATCAGGGAAGTAAAGCATATTGCATTCAGATAAACACTTGTAGGCTAAAATTTTCCCAGTATATAGCCCTTACACAGAAATTATTCCCTTTGACTGTGTTGTTATATTTATCTAGTTGATAGTAAGTTTGATTTTAATGGTGGGGACAGACAAAAGCTAAGCCATATGTGATCAAGACCATTTCATCCTGATTTTTGTAGCCATATCAATATTCAGGTCACAAGGCATTCAATGATATACATAATGTTTTAATAATATACCAATTTACAGAGTTCTGATGATAAAGGTATGCATCCCAAGTACTACATTATTTTTCACAAAATACAGCTAAGGCATAATGAAGTTCATATAAAATCGATAAATAGACTAAAGAAAGCTGTAATTCTGAATGACAAACATTTGGTAAAATACACACTTTTAAAAATATACTTGTCTGATTCTTAAACATTCCTACATATCACTCAGAAAAAATTATGAGATTTTGAAAAGCTTTTCCATGAGCAGTTATATTGTAAACCAGGATTTTTGGAAGATATCTGTCCAAATCCATTTGGAAACTTTTCAAAATCTGTTGATGAAACACTATTTAAAGTTCTGCTAGTTTGGGTAAAAATGAGAAGACTATAATAATTTTTACAATTCACATGAGTTTAAAAGCAGTGTTTTCTTAATTGGGTGTGTTTTTTTCCCCTCTACAAAGCATTAAGCACTACCAAAGAATATAATATAATAATTTTCAATAATTAAATAAATTGAATTTATAAAATATGGGATTATTTCTATTAAAGTAGTAAGCATCAGGCTATTGTTTTAAAATTTGATTTGTGCCAAAGACATAGCTAAGCAGCATAGCACCTGCCTGGCAAGCACATGGTCATGAATTTGATTCCTGATTTCAAAAATAAAAATACAATAAAATTAATATTTGACTTCCCTGTTGTAAGATGGCTTTTATGGAAAAATTTGTTTCTCCTAATATTTTCTGCATATTTTAAAAGAATATAATCTATAATAATTGGAAAATAATTGCTTACAATGTTAATTTTAAAACACATTATTATTTTAGGTATAAAATTATTGGTATCATATTAACATTCTGAGTTAGTACTAAACTTTTAAGCACATTACAAATGCAATACACAATTATAAGAAAAAGTATGATGTTATCTTTCAAGACTTTGAAAAGATAGCTCCCCAAATTCTGAAAGTTACTATTAATAAATAAGATATTTAGTTTCTGGAAATTTTAATTGTTAAGCACTTTGTTTTGGGAAGAGAAAATTAGTTTTACTTTTAATTTAAATATTCATTTGTCCACTTAAGTCATATGAAAAGCATTTTTAATATACAGAATTGATAAAGTATGGAAGAACTGGGTTTTAAATTTTTTAAAAGAGATTAAGATAAAAGAGGACATAACAAAGCAGATCAGAAGAGAACAATTTAAGCAACATAGTATTTCACCACACGAAAACCTGTAATTAACAGTAGATAACATAATGTCTCTTTCCTTGAAATAGTTAACCATACTTTCATACACAATAGTATCAAACATAACAAAATAGTACAAAATCATTAACGAGAATCAAAGTATTACCGGGAATTTAGAACCAAATAACAGAAAATGATCAGTGGCTACTATATTATCTCATTGTCCATAAAAATTTTGTTTATACTACCACACATGATAAAATCCAATAAGATACCATATGATAGAACCAATGGAAACAGAAGAAAAAAAGTATAGTAAGACTTCTAAACAAGATGATAGTTAGTCAACACTGGCTATTGTAATGTCTTGTTTTCTTCAAAATAGCTGTTCATACTATCACAGATAATAAAATCAGCCATTCAGGGTAAAACCATTCCAACTAATGAATGGAAACATTATAAGGCTTCAAAGCAATGTAATGAGGAATCATGATTACTATAAACTTTTATGTAATCTTACCATTTATTACACTAGGGAGATTATACAGTATATGTACATGTTAGTTGATTTATTTCACTTACGAGTGTGGTCTCAAGTTGCATCCATTTATTTATAAATATCTCACTGTGATCATTTTTTATAGCTGAGTAGTACTTCATTCTATAAAAATACCACAAAATTTATCCACTCCTCAATTGTGGGACACTTAGGTTGTTTCCAAGATCTACCTATTAAAATTGTGCTATCATAAACATGGGTATACATATATCACTGTGGTATGATGTTTTCAGTTCTTCTGGGAATATGCCTAGAAGTGGAATAGTTGGATCAAAAGGGACTGTCAATCCTAGCATTTTAACAAATCTCCAGACTGACCTCCAAAGTTGTTGCACCAGTATACACTCCCACCAAAAGTGCAGGGCAGTTCCTTTTTCTCCACAGTCTCTCCAGCATTTGTAGTTGGTAGTTTTCCTGATCCTGGCCATTCTTTCTGGAGTGAGATGCAATCTCAGTATCGTTTTAATTTGCATTTCTCTAGTGACAAATGATGATGAAAATTTTGCATGTATTTATTTTCCATATGTAATTCTTCATCTGAGAACTGTGTATTCATCTCAGATGCCCATTTTTGGATTGGGTCTTGGAATTTCGGTCATCTGATTTTTTAAAAAAAATTTATATGTTTTAAACAGAAGTCCTTTGTCTGAGGGACAGTTCACTAAGATTTTTCCCAGTTTGTGCATTTTCTTTTCAATATGCTGGAGATTTCTATTGACATGCAGAAACTTTTTGATAAGATGTGATCCCAGTTATTGATTCTAGGAAGTATTTCCCATGTGGTTTGATTCGTGTTTATTAATTCTCTATCTAACCCTATGTCTTCAAGATTTTTACCCAATTTGTCTTTCAATAGATTTAGCATTTCTGTTTTAATATTTAGATGTTTGATCCATTTAGATTTTAGTTTAGTACATGGTGATAGGCATGGGTCTAATTTTAGTTTTCAGCACATGAAGAGCCAGTTTTTCCAGCACCATTTATTAAAGAGACTATTGTTCTTCCAGGGCACATGTTTGGCCCCTTTATTAAAGATAAGGTGGTTGAGTGTATTTGCACAGTTGTGGTTGTGTCTTCTAATCTATTCCCTTGATTTTCAGATCTGTTTTTATTCCAATGCCATGTTGATTTTATTCCAGTAGGTTTGTAATAAAACTTCAAGTAATGAATTTTGATGCCTCCCATGTAGCTTTTGCTGCTTAGAATTCTCTTTGCTATTCTAGGTCTAGTCTGCTCCAGATGAATTTTAGGAGTGATTTCTCTAGATCTATGAGCTATGTTGATGGTATTTTCATTGGGATTGCACTGAATCTGTATAACAGTTTTGGGAGAATGGCCATTTACACAATATTTATTCTTCCTTTCCATGAACAAGGAATATCTTTCCATTTTCTGAAATCTTTCTTATTCAATTTCTTTTTTCAGAGTATTATACTTTTCCTTGTATAAATCTTTTACTTCTTTTGTGAAATTAATGCCTAAGTATTTCATTTTATTGGATGCTAATGTGAAGGTGTGGCTTCTCTTATTTCTCTGTCTGTGATTTTGTTGTTAATGTATAGGAATGCTATTGATTTTTTAGTATTGATTTTGTATCCAGATACATTGCTGAATTTATTTATTGTATCTGGGAGACTTTCAATGGAGTTTTGAGGGTCTTCTACGTAGAGTATCATGTCATCTGCAAACAATGATAATTTAAGTTCCTCTTTTCCTATCTTTACCCCTATTATATCTCTCTTGTCTAATTGCTCTGGCTAATATTTACAGTACTATGTTGAACAGGAGCAGTGATAAGGGATATCCTTGTCTTGAGCCTGATTTTAAGGTAAAAGCATTCAGTTTTTGGTCATTAAATACGATGCTGGCTTTTGGTTTGTCATAGATGGCCTTTATCATATTGAGGTAAAGACCATCTATTCCAATTTTCTGTAAGGTTCTTATCATGAATGAGTGTTGGACCTTATCAAAAGCTTTTTCTGCATCTATAGAAATGATCATGTGATTCTTACTTTTGGCTTTATTGGTATGGTGGATTATATTTATTGATTTACATATGTTGAACCATCCCTGCACACCTGGGATGAATCTCCCTTGGTCATGGTGTATAATATTCTTGATGATTTGCTACATCTTGTTTGCCAATATTTTATTGAGGATTTTTGCATCTGTGTTCATTAGGGAGATTGGTCTGTAGTTCTCTTTTAGTTGGGTCTTCCTCAGGTTTTGGTACTAGAGTAATATTTGCTTCCAGGAAAGACTTAGAA